ATTGTTAGAATAATATTATTTTCAAATTGATACATGGAAAGACAACACATGTAGCATGTTAAGTGCAAAATTTCAATTCAATCGGATAAAAAATAAAAATTTGGCAATCTAAAAACAAATGGGTATACCACATTTGCATCACCTCCTATATACTGCTTTCCTTACTGGTTTATATTAAAATAGTTATCTGATTCGTTCCGAGTGTTGGGGTTGGGTAGTCGTTACGGGGAATAGTCAATTTTTACCCTACAAAGACTATCAAGCCATCTGTTGTAAGCATTCCGCCTTCTAAAGATATTGTGATAAAAAACTCAAACATGACGATAATGAAATATATCGGCAGACATTTAGGCATCTCCTCAATATAGTGATACCTCCTGAAGGAAAGAATTGAGATATTGGGTTCAAAATTGGCATATACCGGTCATTAATTAGGCATATAATATATAATAACCCCAAATATTCACTATTTCCTATATTATGTAATCAATATTGGTCCCCCTTTAGGCATAGCCTCATATAACTTTGCAATCTAAATTACAGTAGTTTGTGGATTTTATACTCTACCATGCGTTATCAGTATTAGTCCACTTTTTGGATCTTACAGATTTTAGGAAAAAACCCCATTAAAAATTGCTGAAGTTTGTATTTGGTGCACATAATGGTTTACATAAATCGGTTTGTAGAATTATGCCCACAAAAATATTCGTTTAAAAAATCAACGCCTTATGGCTTTCTTATTATGGAGATTTTTTAATGACTTAAAATGGAATTCTTCTTTAAATGTGTTGGTCACTAATGTCCTTTCTACTGTTCAAATTTTTGTACCAGCCACTTAATTCCTTTAACCTCATTTATCTCCCTCCCACACATACATACACACACCCACCCTCACACACATTATTGTCGTCCATCATTCTTATTGCTAATCACAGAAATAAATGCCTCTCTCACCATCACTTACCTTCGTATAATGGATATGTAATCCTCCAGTCCTTCTGAGTACTTCCGGAAACTTAACAACAACGATGACTCAATGCTATCCAAACGTTTTAAACTATCGATAGATGAATAGAATTCTCCATGTACGGGCAGATTTGATGGCAACAATAGCATCAGGAAAACCGATAGAGCCACATACGATACAAAAGGACGACAACGACGTCGACGACAATATATCCTATTTGATGTCATGCTGAGAGATACCAACACTGAGGAGTGCCAATAATAATTCTAAACTAGATTATGTGTCCTGTGTTGGTGTCGATGTTTAAACGCTGTCGGTTAAAAGGTCGTTGGATTTGGTATTGATATTATTTGAGCCAGCCAACTACTACTTCTACTCGTACTCGTCTTTTGGCTCAATAGTTGTTAGCTCTTCGAATGATACGAAAGATGATTTGGTCGATGATGTGAATGTGCTTGTGCAGGCTGATGATGTGATGTTGAATGTGTGCTGCTATTTGGGTAACTGAAATTCGAAAAATTTGTCTTATCGAGCACTACCATTGAAAGTGAATTGCCAAGAGTGTTTGTGGGGAGGAGAACATAAAAGAAGAAACTATTTGTACGCTTCCTTTGATAGGTGGTAGGTAATCGTGTGGCTGCTGTCGCTTCTGTGTGTCATGTTTACTTTCGAGTAAACGAAATTCAAGCTGTTCAAATAACATTAATTCTAAAGTTGCTGTCTGAAAGTGTGTTCTTTTGACACGTCTTTATTTTTTTCTGTCATTAATTTTGTGTCATGTTTAAATTGGAGGAAAATAAAATAGAGACAATTTGTGGAGAAAGTCTCTCTTTGACATTTGTACCAAAATTTCATGATTGTATTTAATAACACATTATTAAATTCAATAATCAGTTTCAACATTAAAAACCTACACCAATCCGTGGTACAAAGAAGCAAGATAGACCCGTAGAATATACATGGAATCACTTTCCGAGTCGATTCCCAAAATTTCGGTACCCTAATTTTGTTTTCCAACCAAATTGGCTGTAATTTAGTATTTTGAATTCTCATTCGGTGGGAAATCTTCGTATCGAAAGCTATCAATATTAACTTAAATTTCGGAATAGACCCCATATAAACGCATCGCCGTTTATTTGGTACTTTAGGGATTTTCAGCACGTTTTTAAATTTTAATTAAGACGTGCCATAGTTTTATACCAATAATACATAAACCAAAGATTGTGTCTAATATTGATATTAAATATTGCTATGAAATAAAATATTAGTTTTATACCCTACACAACTATGTTAGTAAGAATACCGATCATCATATCTCTACTAGATAAATCAATCTAGACGTGTGTGTCCACCCGTCCGTCTGCACATTATAATATGTAAATACGATTTTATTTGAATGTAGGTCAGGTTATGGCCAAAGAAGACCCCTATATCGCTATATTTTTGGAAAAGCGCCCTTTAATATTTAGGGGATGAAATCGACCAAATACTTAATTTTTGTCGGTTTTTAATGGTCGCTCCAGAGGCCGCAATTATGTCCCAAACATGTTTTTATAAAGATCGGTCAATATTTAGCGGGTCAAATGGACCCTGATTTTTGTGTGAAAATTGTCAAAATTTGTATTCTGTGGCGTATATTTTTCCTCCTGAAGGGCATGGATCCGAGAAGTTGATAGTATATCCACGAGAAGTGGTTGGTCTTTAAATTAATACCTGTCAGCAACTGGACCGTTTGAAGATAGCAATTGACAGAAACGGCCAGAATCGGCCAACAGAAGAGGTGTCGTGTTCCACTAGGACAACGCTAGGGTACACACATCTACAGTGACTCGCCAGAAACTTCGGGAGCTTCGTTGGGAATTTTGTATGTATCCGCCATACAGTCCGGACTTGGCACCAAGTGATTATCATAAATTTTCTTGCATTGCAAAATTTCTTTTATGATGAAAAAATTGGTATCTCGGGAGGCTTGTGAAAATCGACTACTAGAGTTTTTTGCAAATAGAGAGCAGGACTTCTCATGCAACAAAACGGTGCATATTTGTCCAAATCAACCATTCCGAAGCATGGTAAATAAAGTCTCATAGTTCATCTAAAAATAATGGATTTTTTCCCAACCAATATATATATATATATATATTAAAAGGATTATAACCGATCCGATATTCCATATTAAAATTTATTTCGGCTTTGATTTTATAATAGACCGTTTGAATAACTATCATTTATATTTGAACTGTCTGGTGTTCGCCCGAATACATGAAAAATATTCGGTACGACATAAAACTAAAGTTTCAAAAAACGTAGCATAACCTTAGGCGTCACTTGTCACCGCAGTAGATCTATTTAGTGTTTGTATCAAATTGATACTAGAATGTTAGGATACATATCGCTCATTTGCTGCAACACAGGCATAACTCAAACCAGTAAGGAAATTAGTAAAGTCGGACTTGGTCGACTATATGATACCCTTCACCACTATATGTATATTGTATATGTGTATCCTAACAATTTCATGTCATGTCAACCTATGCTAAATTTAATTTCAATCAGATTTAAGGAATTCGATTTATAGATTCAGTATGCCGCACTGTTAAAAATATAATCTCAATCAGACATCCATTCGAAATATTATGGTACGTTATGCAAACCGTCGTGTCAATCGGACAAACATTAGGAGTGGGTGCACCATTTACCTAAAATCGGACTAAAATATATATGTGGGACCCATATCTAAATCTGAACCGATATTCTCGAAACATAACACACCTCATTCCAGACTCAATTTAGTACGCTATGCCAAATATGGTGGAAATCGAAAGATATGAACCGAATTTAAGCTTAATTCACTACTCTATGCCAAATTTCTACAAATCGAGAGATATAGGGACTTTGGTGCACCATTTACATAAAATCAAAACTATATTTGAGAGCTTTATCTAAAACTGAACCGATTTTCACAAAACTTAATACACATCGTTCTGGACCTAATTCTGTACTCTGTGCCAAATTTCGTGCAAATCGAGAGATATATAGGGACTTTGGTGCCTATATCGGATGAAAATATATATGGGAGCTATATATAAATCTGAACCGATCACCAATTTCAATAGGGTTCGTCCTTGGGCCAAATAATTGATTGTGCCAAATTTCATCCAAATCATAAATGCGACCTGTACTTTGTTTACAATTTAACGTCTACAGACGGACGGACATGCATAAATCGACTCAGAAAGTGATTCTATACATATTCTCAAAAGGAACCATGTGTCTATCTCGTTTCCTTTTGCCTGTTACAAACATATGCACAAAGACGTAATACCCTGTATCGCAGTGTGGTAAAGGGTATATTAGAGTGTGTAAGAGATATTCATATGCCTTTTTTACACAACATGCCGTCTATTATAGCGAACAATCGTGCATCATTAACTCGAAAATCACATTTTTTGAGTTATGCCTGTCTTGCAGCAATTGAGCGATATGTAGAATATACCCAAATTGTTGAAGGGTATCATATAGTCAGCCCAGTGCGACTTTACTACTTTCCTTACTGGTTGTACTTGGTCTAGGTTTGGTAAAAATAATATCTTCAGAAATGTTCAAATTTATTTTATAAATAAGGTTATTAAGATCGTAGATTTTTAAACGAAAAACGAAAAAAAATAAATAAATAGGGTATGCTTAATTACGTTTATTACAAATATTTTGGTTTTATTTTAAGCCAAATCCAATAACATAAATAATTCAGCGATTTCAGCAATCTCTGCCAAGGTTTTGGTAACACCACCAACAATGACATAGGCCTCCTTCAGATAGGGTTTAGCTTTGACCCAAGCAGTGGCAACATCATGACGGAAATCCTTTACCAGTTTATCAACATCATCACCAAATTTCTTCAGGGCATCTTCAGTATCATGGACCGCATCTTTGACATCATGACCAAATTCGTCAGCAACATGTTTCTAAAGTAAATCATAATCATTTAAGATATTATTTCATAAAATTAAATAAAGAGCAGAATAAAAAAAGTTACCACATCATCGCCAAAATCATGGAAACCATGTTTAACATCATGGGCAAATTTGTCGGCGACATGTTTCTACAAAATTCATGTATTGAAAATTTAAAAATTCTTTCAAAATTTCTCTACTTACAATATCCTCAGCTAGTCGTTTGAAAATATCCTCATGACACTCCACGGCGCTGCAAAGAGCCAATGCCAAGAGAATACAGGTGACTAAGAAACGCATTGCTAATTTGTTTCTCTCCAAGATTTGTTTGATTTGTGACTGGTAACAACTGTGTCGGAATGAAAAAAAATATTCCCGCTTTTATAGTACCCACAGATGTAACCAACAAAGACCACTTTGAACTTCTGAAGTGCATTTGTACGATAAAATGTTGTTATTGTTGTGATTATTATTAGAAGGGTATTAGCAGAATTGCCGATGTGAAACCAGGGAATATATTTTGTCTATTTTTTTAATGACCACTTGATATAAATCGATGTGATTTTCAAATGATAAGTATCATATTAATAAAGTTTTAATGGGAGAGATAATATGAGAATTGTTAATTTTGAAAAATATTAAAGCGTTTAGAATATTATA